TGGAGGAGGTTGGGGAGGAACAAGGGCCAGGCCTGGAGTCTGGGGAAGGCTCTGACGAGGGCTCTGCGTCGGAGGCAGAGATGGAGCCAAGGCCATCTGACAATTATCAGCTCCCTTTGGAGTCGGAGATCAGTGGGGAAGAAGAACAGCTGGAGCCTGTTCCCGATGTGCGCATGCACAGAGCTGCCAGGAGAAGGGAACAGTTACGGAAGAAAAATGGCCCCTCCCATATGAAATAAAGAGGAGCGAAAGGGGAGTGGTGTTTGCAGGAGACAATTACTTCATTCCTGCATTCTTGCCAAGTATTGTGGCGTCTGAAAGATATCGGCCTGGCAACTCTCCAAGCCTGATAAAGGTCTGTAATTGAGAACTATCATGAAAGACTGTTGGCCGGGGCTTTGCGGGAGAGGAAATTCACTGTAAATTAAATAAAAGGGGTTTACATGCTCCTAAAAAATAAGAGGGGGTGTTTTTTACAGCTTGGAATATATGGTATAAATATGTTGTATAAAAAGGAAGTAAAGATGTCTAGTGAAACCGATTAAACAAACAACAAGGGAAAATGGAAATAAGGATAAATGTATATATAGCCATGTACGTAAAGTAATATAATTAATCAATTAAATACTGTATTATAATTGTAATAACATAAAAAAGTAAGGATCTAGGAAACAAGTTATAGATTTATAGATTGTAACAAATGACTTTACTTGACACAAATAGAAATGTATGAAAACTGCTATGAAAACGTTGCAAAAATGTGAGAACATGTTTCGTGGTTTTTTTAAAATATATTCCTTTTGTTTTGAAACTTTCAAAAAGCATATTAAAATAAATAAATAAATGGGGTTTATTGGGACGAGGAGTCAGCTTAGCTCAGAACAAGAAGTACAACTCACCATCCCTGTCTACAGAGGTCAAGACAACATAATCCAGTCCCCATTCAGCAATTGCTTTTGCAGTGTTACAGGGTTCTTCGGGGTCCAACGGAGGAGGATTCCTTGACGTCTTCACCGAGCAGAAGCGACAGCCTCTCGTACACGTGTCCCCCATGAGCTAAAACAGATACCGGAAGTGACGAAACGGGTCTATAATCTGGCCTGAAAAGCCTTGCAGAAGCTTTTTCCAAGCCTTTGGGAGGCCGAAAAAGGCCTCAAACCAGCCAAAAAAAAAATCAGCTGTGAGGCGCAGTGCGGGTAAGCGGGTGGCAGGGGTGGGAATTGCGTGTGCATGCGCAGGGGGCGTAAGGAGGGGGCGGCCACATTGCATTCCAGGTGCTGGCACGCGATTGCGTGCATGCTAGTGCGCATGCAATTTTTGGCACGGGAGCCCAAAAAGGTTAGCCACCACTGGTATGGGAATTGTTGGGCTCCCTATGGTTTTAAGGCAAAGACCATATTACGCTAGAGAAGGCTTGGCACACATGAGCTTCCCGCTCTGAATGGGCCTTTGGAGGTCGGTGATGAAAGCTTACCATGATAGTGGCTGTAGCAGTAGCGTATTCTCCTCCCCCCCAGCATTCTCCAATGTTTGGACACCTGGCCTCCTCGCACACCTAGCGTGAAGGACACCTTGATTAGCAGGAGAAAAGGAGCAACACCAGATTTATTTCTTCAGAAAAGTTAAGATTCTAGCTCTCTGAGTTTCTCCCTTGCAGCTATATGAGCTTTCTCTCCCCTAATGCTTGGTTCCCTAGTTGGGTCATGAAATGTCTACAAGAAAACCACTAAGTTCAGAGAGCACCCAGGACCCCACGGTCGTCCTTCCTCCTCCTCCCCTTCTCCACTCGGCAAACCCCACTCCCTTCTAGCACTGATGATGTTACCTAGTTGGGTCATGAAGCGTCTGCAAGAAAACCACCAAATTCCAAGAGCACCAAACACTTTGCAATCTTCCTCCTCCTCCTCCTCCCCTGTTCCATCTCCACTCTGCAAACCCCTCTCTTCTAGCACTGATGATGTTACCTAGTTGGGTCCTGAAACGTCTGCAAGAAAACCACTAAGTTCAGAGAGCACCGAGGACCCCACAGTCGTCCTTCCTCCTCCTCCCCTTCTCCACTCTGCAAACCCCACTCTCTTCTAGCACTGATGATGTTACCTAGTTGGGTCATGAAACGTCTGCAAGAAAACCACCCAGCTCAGAGAGCACCAAAGACTTTGCAATCTTTCTCCTCTTTCTCCTCCTCCTCCTCCTCCTCCTCCTCCTCCCCTGTTCCTTTTCCACTGGGCAAACCCCATTCCCTTCTAGCACTGATGATGTTTCCTAGTCGGGTAATGAAATGTCTGCAAGAAAACCACCAAGCTCAGAGAGCACCAGGGACCAAACAATCTTCCTCCTCCTCCCCTGCTCCTTCTCCACTCGGCAAACCTCACTCCTTTCTAGCACTGATGATGTTACCTAGCTGGGTCATGAAACGCCTACAAGAAAACCACCCAGCTCAGAGAGCACCCAGGGCCCCACAGTTCAGTCCTGAGCTACAAATATCCTCTTCTATGGAAACCTCCAACTGTCGAGAGATAGCTTTAGCACCCTGCAGATACTTTTGCAAAAACAGAAAGTACTTAAAATGGCCAGTGAGAACTAAGAATATAAGCTAAAGGAATTGGAAAATGTAAGGGAACTTTTCATGAAGAACTTAAAACAGATATTTTGTTCTGTTTAAACGACTGAAACAAGTGACTGCTGTTCTGTATTTCCATCACATTCAGCCCAATCCCATCTCCTTCATATAAGGAAGAAAAAGAGGAGAGAAATAAAAAATTTCCCAAACCAGAACAAAGTGTTGGTACTGTACCTACCGTATGTAGATTTAAATTGCGCAATGTGTTCTTCAGCTTATTATAATTTTTTCCAATGGGGATCTCAGTTTTCAACCAAGGAGGAAGCCGTAACCTAAAAATCAAAGCTTATTTTGGTTCACCAAGTATCTCAGTTTGGAAATGGTGTTTTTTTCCTTTCTTTCTGTACCAATCCTGTTCCCGATGTGCGCATGCGCAGAGCTGCCAGGAAAGGGAATTTAAGGAACAAGGGTCAACTCGGGAGTGAAGGTACAGGTGGACGGGGAATGCCCTCTCCCATAGGGAATAAAGGAGAAGCGAGAGGGGTGGTGTTTGCAGAAGATGATTAGTTCGTTTAATTAGTGTGAAGATCTGTTCCTGACTTCTTGCCAAGTAAGTGATGCTACAACGTGGCGTTTGGAAGATATCGGCCTGGCAACTCTCCCAGCCTGATAAAGGTCTGTGGTTGTAATTCACCCTTGAAAGACTGTTTGCTGGGACTTTGCTGGATGCGAATGAGAGGAATTCACGTTAGCCTAAACAAAAGGGAGATTTTTGTCGGGACGAGGAGCCGACTTCGTGATTTGGCGAAGCCTGGGTCAGAACAAAAAGGACCATCGATTCCAATCCCTGGGCCAAAAGGCTAACCAACAAGGCTAACCTGGGTCTGAATTGGTTAACAACAAACGAGCCTGAAGATTTCTCCATACCTTTCTCCTTTTTGACGCTTTAAATGGCCTTTATATTCTGCCCACTTGGTTTTGTCCGAAAGTTCCCCAGATATGAAATCCTTCAAATCAGGGCCCTCTTGAAAATGTCCCATCTGGGCTTCTGGCAGCGAATTCGAACTCGACATTTTCAACTGGTTTCCAAACAGCTAGAGGGAGGAAAAAAATGGCATTGCTTTGCAAACGTGATATACAAGTAATTCTCGACTTAAGACCACCATTGAGCCCAAAGGAATGCTGCTAAGTGAGATAGTTGTTAAGTGCGCTTTGCCCCCATCTTAGAACTTTTCTTGCCACTTTAGTTAAGCGAGTAGTAACTCTGTTGTGAAGTGACCCTGGCTTCCCCATTGCCTTGGCTTGTGAGTAGGTCACAAAAGGGGATCACCCAATCCCTGGGATACGGCAACCATCATAAGTATGAACCAATTGCTAAGCATCTGAATTTTGATCAAATGATCACAGGGATGGTGCAAAGGTCGTAAGTGTGAAAAACGACCAGAAGCCACTTTTTTCAGTGACGTTGTAAGTTTGAACGGTCCCTAAACAAAACCGTTGTAAGTCAAGGACTACTTGTAAAGCATAGCACAGTAGTTTGTATAAGAAAATTAGCTTTAAAAGCTTCACTCACATAATTAGAATTGATTGCACTGCTAGTCATACCGCAATATTTCTTTTTTTCCTTAGCACCATGTCAGGGACAACAGGTGGTCCTCGACTTACGACAGTTTGTTTAGTGACTGTGTCAGAGCGTTTGCGGCGTGACTACCATTATGAGATAACCCAGGAGCAAAACACAGCACACAGAGACTTAAGATATTTAACAGTGGTTTATATACAAGATGTCATGCCCTTGTTAGAGTCAGACTCTGAGGGAGAGGAGGAACAGCCGACAGGGAGTGGAGGTGGGGCTCCGGAGGTTGAGGAGGAGGCTGGGGAAGGGCAGAGGCCGGCTGGGCAGTCAGAGGAGGAACCAGGCCCATCCCCTCTCCATCCTAGGACTTGCAGGGAGGAACGGAGAAGGAAACAACTTGGCTTAGGAGAGAGGAAGCAGCCACGATCCCCCTTAATTGGTTGCAGCTGGGGAGAATAGTATATAAGAGAAATGATTACAACACAGCGTTGCCAGAAGCAAAGTGTGTGTTATTTTGGGCTGAAGTTACCTTGGTTGGTGTCCTTCCAACAGGCTGTGCCTTGTTATCTCCTTAAAGTTGGTAATTACTTATCCTGGTCTGTTGTGGAAATTCCTTCATTGTAGTTTGTTTTAGTTTTTCATTTCACCTCTATCTGCTCAATAAGTTCAGACTGTATTGCTTTCTTTTGAAGACTATTTTTGAGTAAGTATTATCTCCAACTGAGAATTATTGAACAGTGGGGCCAAGTTGGAGGCATTAAGGACATTTATTTACGTTTTGGATTTTGTTACGTTTGTGTTGCACTTCAGGTCATCACCCAAGACATATACAGAAATAAACATGGTAGGCAAAATACCTGTGATGACCCAAAGTCAGTCAGATAATCAGTAGGAGTCCCTTTATCAGCTCCAACTTTGTCCCCAGTGTCCTGGTTACCTTCTGGGCTGGAGAAAAACTCTCCCAGGAACAGCCTTTGACTGCAGAGAACCAAGTCCAAAACATGGTCAACAAAAACTGTAACTATAAGTCCAATCAAGGCAAGATGAGGTAATTAGTCCGGCAGGGCAGGAGCAGGAATCCCAGACTTGAAGATACAGCAGTATTTCAACATGGTTGGGAAGACGCCAGGAACACAGATAACCAAAGATAAACTCACGTTTGTTCCCAGCAGACACCGCACTCAGCTTGCATCTCTTTTAAACTCCCTTCCCAGGTATGGCTAATGAAGGGAATCAGGGCCCTTTCCTCCACCGTAAGCCACCCAACCCACATTGTTCCCTTCTCCATTCCTCCCTGCGTGCCCTAGGATGAAGAGGGGGTGGGCCTGGGTCTTCCTCTGAACTCCCTCTTCCTTATTCTACCTCTTCCCTGCTCTGCCCAGTTGGACTTTGCCCTTCCCCATTTTCCTCCACAGTCAACGGAGCCACACTTCCCACTCCCTGTCAGCTGTTCATCTTCCTCCTTGGATTCAGACTCTGACAGGGGCATGACAATATCTTTACAAGCAATCTTTCTTCTACAGGGAGAACTTCTGCAAATGAATGCCAGGCACAAGGAGAGAAAATCACACCCTCTAAGGGCTTCCTTTATATAAACACCTCTTAAAGGGGTAGAACCCATCCCCAGTCTTAAAGGGAAATACCCATGCTATGCTGATTCATTCTTATTGCATCAGCCTATATTGCATTAGCTTCACTGCTGGTCAGCTCTTAAATCCCAAGACCTTTCAGAGTTATAGAGGCATTGAAAAAAAAAGTGATTTGTGACTGTTTTTCACCCTTACGACCTTTGCTGCGTCCCACGGTCACGTGATCCCCTTTGCCAACCTACTCACAAGCAAAGTCCATGGGGGGGAAGTCAGGTGCACTTAACGGCCAGGTTACTAACTTATCAACTGCAGTGATTCACTTAATATCCATAACAAGGAAAGTCGTAAAATGGGGCAAAACCCCACTTAACAGAAATGTCAGGCTCAATTATGGTCGCAAGTCGAGGACTACCTGCCTTTAGCTTGCCAGTGTGTGTTTGGATTTTTTTCCCCCCTGCCCTGGGATCTCCTGGTGGTGCCCCATCCACCCGTAATCCAGATGAGACGCTATTACGCTTTCCAGATCAGCCCAGGTCGCCTCCTCAGGGCTGGATTTCCACCAAGGGCGACCGGACAGCCCTTCCTACCTCGCAGGGACGTTGTGCGGGCAAGGATACTGGGGCAGCCGCCGCGAAACGGGGGAAATGGGGCAAAGAGAGAGGCCTCTCACCGGTTTGCCCTCCGCTACCAGCCTCGTGAGGCTCCTCGGGGCGAAGGCAGCGCAGGGGAGCCCGCTACCGAGCAGCCACATGTCGGTCGTCCTCTCAGCCCAGCCGCCGCCACCCCGACCCCTTTCTCGTCTCCGGGCCGAAGTCCCTCAATGGGCAACCTCGGCGCTCGGCTACTTTCCCTTTCCGCCCGGCGATCAACTGATCGCGCCTGCGCGCAGGCGTTTGATTTCCCCCCTTCCTTTCCCCTTCCCCCCCTCCCCCGAGCGGTGTCGTCATCAGCACGCGCCGCACCGTTTAAAAGCGTGATGACGCAAGACGCATTTCCTTTCCTCGTTCCTGTCAACACGAATGGTGAGTCGCGCCGGTTTGTCTTTTTCCCCCGTCGGAACTTAAAGGCAGGAGAATCCGGCTCCATCCGCCAAGTCGGTCCCGCCGGGTACTTTGTAACGCTCCGGGCCAGGCCTGAACGGCATCCGCCTTCGGAGTCGGGGTACTTTTCGGGTTGGCGTCCGCGCGTTTTCGGAGAGGGAGCCCCTGAGAAATAATACACCCCCCCAATACTCCCACCGGTGGCCTGGAGAGGGACGCGCGCGCCCGGGCTTCATTTGCGCACGCGCGACCTGCTGAACGGTTCCTGAATGGGCACGTTCTCTGATTTAGGGAAAGGAGAGTCCAAAGTTGTTGTGTGAACTACGAGCAAATAATGCCTCCCCTCTAGTGTTGCTTTAACGTAGGCTAAGTGCTAAGTGTAGCTCAGGCGTATCCAATCATGGCAACTTTTAAGACTTGTGGACTTCAACTCCCAGAATTCCCCAGTTTGCTGATCATAAAAGTGTATGCAGTAGAAATCCCTAAGAGCAGAGTTATGCTGGCTGGAGAATTCTGGCAGTTGAAGTCCACAAGTCTTAAAGTTGCCAAATTTGGGGACCCCTGCTTAAGAGCAACGAATGGCCACTTTGGAACAGTTATACTTTATATTTTTGAGCTGTGAGATCCAAAAGCTTTTCACCACTCTCCTCTGCCTTTAATCACAGTTAATTGTTTCATCCAATCAAAGAATTATAAGTTGCTGTCCAAAAGTTAAACTTCATCTATGCATATTGTACGTTCATTGTGTGCATATTGTTTCTCCGTTATTATGACAGCTTTATGTATGAAATGTGTCTTAAAGGAATGGGCGAAACCCAATTTTATTAAAATTATGTATTTTTTTCCTAGCAATTCAGTATTACCATTTTTTCTTTTTTTTTACTAAGAGGGAGATCTAGGAAAACAAAAAGGTTTAAACAGTGGTTTGGGGGCTTAACATGGTAGGTCGTCTTTGGAATCAATAGTCAAGAAGACTATAGGTTGTAGGACAATTTTATAAAAATGATACTGAAATAAAAGATATTTTTAAAAAATATTGTACATTTTTTGTTATTATCACCTTTCTAATTTTGCAACATCAGTGTCCTTTTTTAAAAAAAACGCATCGCAGTATATGCATCCTGGTTATAACTATTATTCTCATAGTCATACAATATAGTCTCTCTTGACTGCATAGTGTTGTACATCGTATCTACTATTTTCATATTTGTACCATAATACGCTTTTACATTTATCACTCTGTACATTTTAACCTATATTTACGTACAGTCCGATAGTGGTATTGCTTGCATTGTGTATTCTTACATATTTCTATATAGCTGCATTTATTTTTATTTTTGTTAATATTCTTTCATTGTTAGGTACTAATCCGCACCTGTTGTTTAACCATTTATACAATACACCCCATGTTAAGCAGTATTCTGTATCCTCTTTGCCAAGTTCTATTAGTTAGCCTGTCCAATTCTGCACATTGTCATATTTTTTATTATTCTCATCTGTGGGTATACTTTCATTGAAATAAAAGATATTAAACATCCACTATGCAGCTGTGCAATTTGGCTTTAAATTTTGTTTTTCAAAAGCAGCCATGCTTTAAATGCTGTTGAAGTTTTGTTTTGTTTTGTTTTGTTTTTTATTTATTTAATTTTTTATTAAACATAACAATTAAAAAAACATTGGACGAAGCGGAGTTGTTTTGACATAATTTTTGGTCATTGTTCTAGTGAAATATAATAGAATATAGATCTTACATACATTTGTACGTGTGTGTGTGTGTGCAAATGCATATACATATATACACACACACACACACAATATACATTTATTCATCCTTATTTACATCTTCCAACACTCTTAGTATTATTTAAGTCTCGTGATCACAGATGTCCTCTTTAACAACTCTTTTCAATCTTAAACTCTTCCTTTCTGTCCCCACCGATAGTAAAATCTATTCCAAATTATATAACATTTCAGTTCATCCCTATTTTTCATCTCTAGTGTTAGCCTAGCAGTTTGCAAAGCACCATGTTTAAATGCTGTTGAAATTTTGCTTTGTTTTTTTAAAAAAGCTGAATCCCTTTCTTAACTTTCCATTTTGTCTTATTTTTGTTAATAGATTAAAAATGAAGACCATTCTTAGTAACCAAACAGTTGACATTCCTGAGAAAGGTAAGAATGTAACTAGCGACTCTCCTAATAAGATTATTTTCTTAAAATCAAACAAATAAATAAATACACCTCTGACGTTATTTGGATATTTATGTTGTCTGAGTAGTTCACTGAAGCTAATTTTACTTTTTCTTTTCCAGTCGACATTATCCTGAAAGGGCGGACAGTCACTGTTAAAGGGCCGAGAGGAACTTTGAAAAGAGACTTCAACCACATCAATGTGGAACTCTCCCTTTTGGGGAAGAAACGCAAGAAGGTGAGGTGGTTTTGAATGTTAATGCTCAGTGTTGTGTCAGGTTTCCAGATTTCCTATCGCCTCTCATATTAATTCCCAATTTATTGCGATGATGTGTCTAGAACAGGGATCAGCAACACTCAGTGAGCCACAATGGTCCTAACCAGAACACACACACCCTGGTTCAATTCTGGAGCCAACTAGAAGTCTGGTTCTGCCACCATAGAGTCTCCTCCTAGCATGGCGTCCTTTTTCTTTTACCTGTCCTAACCGAAAGCTCTTATCAATTGTGGAGCCGACCGGCGATAGGGAGCCGCAACAGAGGGATGAAAGAGCCACATGAGGCTCCAGAGCCATAGGTTGCCTATCTCTGGTCTAGAATATGAGATTTGGAGATGTGGACTTGAAAGGTACTGAGCAAAAATGTTGGAGATTCAACACAACCTGATAAAACAGTTGCAATGTTTACAAATCTTGTGAATCCTTGCTGTGTTGTCATAAATTCTGAAGACCTGTGATAGCTTTCATTGCATCTCAAGTGCCGGGTATATTCATTCTTGCTACTTATGTATATTTTATGGGTAATGCTGTGGTTTTCACAGACCATGTTCCTGTCTTGAGTGCACGCATATTTGTTCAGGTAGTCCTTGACTTACAACCACAATTGAGCCCAAAATTTCTGCTAAGTGGAGACATTGGTTAAGTGAACTTTGTCCCATTTTACAACTTTCCTTGCCACAGTTGTTAAGAATCACAAGGCGGTTGTTAAGTTAGTAACACTGTTGTTAAGTGAATCTGATTTTGCTTGTCAAAAGATTGCAATAGATGATAACATGTCCCTGGGACACTGCAGCTGTCATAAATATATGCCAGTTGCCACATATTTTTATCACATATTTTTGCCACATATTAGTATCAGGGATACTAGTAAGTGTGAAAAGTGGTCCTAAGTCCCTTTTTTTCAGTTGTAACTTTGTCACTAAACAGACTATTGTCAGTTGAGGACTACCTGTATTATACAACTATTCTACTAAAGTTTCTGAAACTATTGGCTGCCATCCTTCGTGCTGTTTATTTAGCCCATCATAGCTCAAATATAAATCAAGTTTAAAGTCACAGGATTGAACACCCAAGTTTGGAGTAGTAAAAGCACCAAACACAGTTTAGTGGAACCTGACAGGTTCAGTGGACTTGTAGTGCATATGGAAATGGTATATCAATTAATCCATGTTAGTATGGTGGATGATTCCTGAACATTCCTTCCTAGGCATCCCTTTAATATTGACAGAATAGAATAATGGAATGAGGAATAGAATAGAGGAATGGAATGGAATAGAATTCTTTATTGGCCAAGTGTGATTGGGCACACAAGGAATTTGTCTTTGGTGCAAATGCTCTTGGTGTACATAAAAGAAAAGATACATTTGTCAAGAGTCAATAGAGAATAGAATATAAAATGGAATAAGGAATAGAACAGAACAATGGAATGTAGAATAGAATAGAACGAAGAATAGAATAGAAAGGGGAAAAAAGAAACAGTTGGAAGAGACCTTGGAGGTGTGTGAACTGAGTGTAAAGATAGCATGGGAAAATCATTGGAAACAATTGCTATGGTTGCAGTGGCTTGACAATGTCAGTGCGATGTCAGAAATTGCTGCCGTCCGACGGCTGGTTGGACTGATCTATTTGTGAGCTGTGCAGCAGTACTCTCGTTCTCGTGTGCAGTCTGGAGAAGGATGTGTTGCATTTTGTGAAGCAAAGCCTTCGGTTTACTGAAATGGTTGCGTTTGCATGGTTGACGCATGCGAGACGGCCTGCAACTGGAAATCTTTTTTAAGTTAACAAGCATGCATTCAGGGATGTGGTATCAAACTGACCCCCAGTGAAGGAGGCTTGCTGGAGATAGAGATTGCAGGGAACCACTCTGACCTAGACCAGGGGCCTCCAAGCTCCCGGTCCATGGACCAACACCGATCCACGGCATGCCAGCAATGGGGCCGCTCAAACAATCGAGCCCCCATCCATGGGATGCAGGCAGCATGTGAAACTGCTCCGGTCTGCAGAAAAACATCTCTCCGTGGAACCAAAAAGTTGGGGGCTTCTGGCCTAGACCACCAATCAGAATTTGGCCAGTTGCAACTTCTCCGTCAGAGTTCAGTCACCAACAAAAGTTTACGTTCTAGGAGATCTCTGTTCAATTCCCTTTTTATTTCTGTGCTTTTTGTATCTTTAAGTAGCGGAAAGAACCTTGGGAAACAATATTTGGTTGAAATTGGAATAAAGATACAATCTTAAGAATAGTTTTGATAGGTACTGTTGAGTCAAGTTGGATTCTTTGTGTGTGCTGTTACCTACAAACTAACTATAATTACAGCTTAGTGTTATAAAATCTTGCCTTGTTAGAAATATATAAATAGTTGCGGGTGCAGAAAATTGTCCACTTATTATCCATTTTCAGAAAAAATGTTGACTGTCCAGGTAGTCCTCCCCTTATGATCCCAGTTAAGCCCAAAATTTATGTTGTTAAGTGAGGAATTGGTTAAGTGTGTCTTGCCCCATTTTATGATCTTTCTTGCCACATTTGTTAAGTGAATCACTGCAGTTGTTAAATTAGTAACCCGTTGTTAAGTGAATCTGGATTCTCCATTGACTTTGCTTGTCAGAAGGTCGCAAAAGGGGATCATGTGACCCTGGAACACTGCAAGTGTCATAAATGTGAGTCAGTGGTGAAGCGCCCGAATGTAAATCCACATGACCAGGGGAGTGCTACAACAGTAATAAGTGTGAAAAAAATGGTCATAAGTCATTTCCTTCAGTGCCATTGTAACTTTGAACAGTGAACCGCTCATAGTCACAACACCACTGACAAAAATGACTTATGACTATTTTTCACACTTAATGACTAAGTGAACTGTTGTAGGTCAAAGACTATGCTGACGTCCTGGAATGGCGATTCATTTTTTCTTTTCTTTAAACCTTTTAGCTGCGTGTCGACAAATGGTGGGGTAACAGAAAGGAGCTGGCAACCGTTCGCACAATTTGCAGTCATGTGCAAAACATGATCAAGGGGGTTACATTGGTAAGTTGTCAGGATTCCAGCAATCGCCCTAATTAAATCATGATTCTCGAGCCAAACTTCAAAAAACTGCAAAGGATTCAGTAGAGGCGACATACTGGCACTGCCCTGTCTGAAGCCCACTGTAGCATATGTCATTTACAATCACTGTGACCCTCTTTCTCCCTTCCCCCTGGGTGTCTCATAAGCCAGATTCTCCAATTGAGCACCTTCACAGGCTGGGTGTCATCAGTTACATTCTCCAATTAAATATATTCGCAGGCAAAAGCTCTGGTATTTTAGTTACAATCTTTTATAGAGAAGAGTTGGAATGTATTTTCGCTTTCAAACTGCTACAGATTTCCTCCCCCCCCCCCTTTTTTTTTTTTATGGCAACTACTAAAGCAGGCATAGTGCGATGACTCAGGGCATGACACAAAAATAACACAGTCACAAAAGTAGAATAAATTCCCTTTAATGCCTCCAACTTGGGCCCCAATGTCCAATTATCTTCAGCTTGATATTGAACTCTTCCCAAAACAGTCTATGAAGAGAGTAAACGTAGTCTGAACCAAAAGTAAAAGTAATTAGAAATTAAAAAATCCAACACAAGCCATACTGGAGTCATTAACATGGCAGGCCAGGATGATAAATTGCAGACTTCCAACAGATAACGCAGCAACCACAGTTGGGAGGGTGTCAAAACCCAGATAAGCCTCGACAAAGATAATGCACGCTTTGCTTCCAGCAAGGAGCAGTGTGCAAATGCCGCTCTTATATCCTGTTCTCCCAGCTGCAACTAATGAAAGGGATCAGGGCCTTTTCCTCTCCCATAAGCCACGTTGTTCCCTTCTCCGTTCCTCGCTGCATGCCCTAGGATGAAGAGGGGATGGTCCCGGGTCTTCCTCTGAATGCCCAGCCGGACTGTGCTCCTCCCCCATTTCTTCCACAGCCATGGGGGCCACACTCCCACTCCCTGTCAGCTGTTTGACCTCCCCCCTTGGAATCAGATTCCAACAGGGGCATGACACATAGGAATGTTTTATGAGTTGACATTAGTTTCTTAAAACCAAGCTTAAAGCGCAAAACGTGACAGTGCAGTTGAGTTGGGCTTGGCAGCTGCTGGTGTTGGACAAGCAGAGTGCAGTCCTTTGGAATTCCGGTTTCTTTGGTTTGGTTGACTTTTGTCTTAATTTCAGGGCTTTCGTTATAAGATGAGGTCTGTCTATGCCCATTTCCCCATCAACGTCGTTATTCAAGAAAATGGCTCCCTGGTCGAGATCCGTAACTTCCTTGGGGAGAAATATATCCGACGGGTGCGCATGAGGCAAGGTAAGGCGCTTGTCAACCCCAACCTGAGTTTAAATGGGATACGAGAAAGAATTCCAGTACTCTGGGCCCGAGACCGGTGCGTTATCGAACCTGGAGGCGGTGGGGAATTCTGGGAATTGAAGTCCACGTATCTTAAGAATAGCCAAGTTTGAAAACGACTGCTTGACATGAATCTTGGAATAGTCCGAAAACTTTAGTAGATACTGATTTCATTAGATTTACAAGCAGGTTTTATTGTATACTAGCCAGATTTTTTTTAATATAACCACAGAATGTTCAAGGTGGTACTTATGTATTTTATATATAAAACAGAGAACTTAAGAGCATTTTGAATTATTCAGTACAGAAAGACGTAGCATCCTTGTTGTGATGTATACTTGTAGTTATTTTTGTAATGCTTCTTCTGGGTTTGGTAGGAAGCTTCCTTAAGGGAAAAAATATTCTTAGTTTTGAAAGGCAAAATACAGTGAGCGCGCTAATATGGTAATATATTTTTCTTAAGTTAAAAATCAGTTCCTTTGAATACATTTTCATTTCTTTTTTTAGTGATAATCTTTTCTCAAATATTCTTTTTTTTTTTTTTGTACTTCAGGGGTTAATTGTGCAGTGTCGCAAGCTCAGAAGGATGAACTGATCCTTGAAGGAAATGACATTGAATTGGTATCTAATTCGGGTACGTCTTTATATTATGGTTTGCCCCGTTGTATTATGTCATGCAAAGCATTTGGAAACAGTTTGTTTAAATAAACAGAAGATCAGGGAAATTCTTTTGTTGCCTTTTTATTCTTGACAGGTTTTGCTCATATTTCCATGCTTTTTTTTCCTACTGTTACCTTGCTACAAATTAGACTTTGCCATCTAATTTGATTTTATTGTAGCCCTAGCTTCTGTTAAATCAGTTGTTAAATCTGGAGGGCGTAATTATTTTGTCATTCCAAATTAAATAGAGCCATCTTTTTTTATTTTTATATAGCTGCCTTGATCCAGCAAGCCACAACTGTCAAGAATAAAGATATCAGAAAGTTCTTGGATGGTATCTACGTCTCCGAGAAGGGAACAGTGCAACAAGCTGATGAATAAAACCGGTAAGTTAGTAACATTTTTTAATGCATAAATCCATGTGCGCTATGTGAAATACAAATAATATCCTGGATTAAATGTTGGCTTTCAGAGCAGGGACCATTGTACCAGAAAAGTGGCATAACTCAACCATTCAGTGAGTTTTTATTTCAACTCCTGTCTCAGTCACTAACCCCTGAAATGCTGTATGTTACTGGACCAATTCTGAAGATAGTTTTAGCAAGTAGAGGTAGCTGTTTACCGAGTTGTAGCTTCCATGATAGTGGATATACGAAGGATGACTGATGAATAGTTTGGGGTGGGAGAAAGCGTTGGTGTATAATAGACACCCTGCTAATCAAATGCTTTACGAGCATTTCTATAAGTTACCATTTGGGAAATAGTCATTCAGTATATATATCCCATATATTGGAACAGTGAAGTGTTGCTCGTAAAATTCCACAGGTAGTTGGAAAGGCACGGACATTTTCTTCATCCCATCTGAAAAGTGAACAATTGAGAAAGCTCATTTCTCATTTTAGCTTGCTTTAGAGTTGAGACAACGAGGAGAGCATCATTAAAGCCATTTGAATTTGACTTGCTTGTTATGATTTGAAGGGCTATAGGAGCTTTAGATAGATATAAGTTGATTCAGAATAATGGAAGGGACCTTGAAGGTCATCTAATCCAACCCTCTGCTCAAAGCAGGAGACCCTATAGCATTTCAGACAAATGGCTGTCCAGTCTCTTCTTTAAAACCTCCAATGTTGGAGCACCCATAACTTCTGGAGTCTAATTGTTCTCACGGTCAGGAAATTTCTCCTTCGTTCTAGCTTGCTTCCCCTCCCTGATTAATTTCCATCCATTGCTTCTTGTCCTGCCCTCAGGTGATCTGAAGAAGAGGTTGCCCCCCCCCCTTCTTCGTGGCATCCCCCAAAATATTGGAACATTGCTATTGCATCACCCCATGTCCTCCTTTTCACTAGACTAGCCAAACCCAGTTCTTGCAGCAGTTCTTCATGTTAAGGGTGAAGATGAAGCTTTATTGAATTGAATTCAATTCATGATGACCGTAAAAAACATACCTTAATTGTTTTCTTGCCAATGGTTCCATGCCCTTCAAGACTTTTTCACCTTTTCACTCTTGCCTACGGCCTCTTGATGGTTCAACCATTATCCAACCACTGGCTATGTTCAATTCTAATTAGCTTTTTGAGATTTGCCAAAGTTATAATGCCATTAATGTACATCACATACTGTTTAAGGTGAAGTAAAGGAAGACTGTCTTCCCTCATGGCACAAAACAGTAAACTTTGATTTGCAGCTGAGATTATTGTTCAGCATTAGTGGTGATGAAATGGGTAACTTCTCCTGCCCTTCTTTGCTTTAAAATATTTTCTAAAATCTTTTATAAACACAAGTATTTTAAGAAATCTAAAATAGCCAATAATCCCATCCACAATTTGTCTGCTGACATGTATTCACTCCACAGACTGATACTATCAGGTGATTTTTCATTTTGGTTTGCCTTTATTTAACAAAACAGGAGAAATTAACTTAGTTAACAATGAGGAAAAAGCAAAAGGTGAAAAATGCAATAAAACAAACACACGTAAGAGCTTCTCATGTATTTAAATACATCTATAAAATACTACACCACAGTATTCTTTATCACATTAGCTTGAATATGTTTGTCAGAGAATGGAAGTAAAGTTATTTTCTTCGTATTCTATCTGCTTCAACAATAAAACTTTTTTTTTATGGTTTTAGGTCCTGAAATGGCAATCTGGGAGACATGACACATCTTGCAGTTGGAAGTTTTCTATTTGAACTGTACAGTCTCAGATTGTTTTGAGAAAATAAAACCATTATCTTTCAATATCCTGTATTTTTGTGATTGAGCATGGAATAGCTGTAATTCACTGTTAATTTTGAAAATGGACTGCTCAGTTGCCCATTACAACACAAAGATGGTAAGATAAAATATCTTTAGGAGTGTTTAAAGTGTTTTGGAGTAACATTTTAGGAGTTACATGAGAGAATCTTGCATGAAAAGACTGGATTAACTTTATTTCTCTTTAGTCCGTTTGAAATCTGGAATTGGTTGGTTTAACTCAAATCATGAGATATTTCAAGTCTTTTTCCAACACTTCACTTGTTTCTTATTTTGGAAACTGAATTAAAAGCTACAAGCTCACCATTTAACTCCATTACCTAAATTATTTGAGGGGTGTTAGAAATAATGGGAAGTGAGCATTAGTGATAATTAAACAAGCTGGTATTTGATCAACTTGGAATATTAATGGGATTGCAACAAATGAAAATATATTGTAAATGTTCCATCTCTAAACCACAGCGCGCGCGCGTGCGCGCACACACACACACACACACACACGAGAATTATACTTGAGAAATGCAAAGACATTTCTTTAAAAGTGCACACTTCTAAAATCTTATCCTTTCAAACTGAACTCTACATAGTTATCCCAACAGAAACATTTGTCTGAATTCCAATTAAAATAATAAACCAACATGTATACTTTTAAATAGTTCGCTTTCACATGGAGATGTGCAAAATGTACAGTAGGTTAAATGGCTTCCACTGGACCGGGTTGTATAATGAGGAGGCTGAAGAAACTGAATAAGGCCAGTTGATTGGACACCAATTTTCTCTGTAGTGAGCAGCCACAAATGTCTAAGATGGGGAACAAGAATGTAGTGCAAGCCCTTGTAAAAACCCAAAAGTGTGGCTTTGTGTCAGAATCCTGAATTTGGCATTCCAAATTCATAAGTATCTTATTAAGAGTGTTTCCACCAATTTTTCTGATCCTTGTTGATAAACGGACCGAGAAAATGATTCTATATCTGGCTGAGAACTTTCTTAGGTTTAGTTTCCACAGAAACGCCAAAGTGCTGGAAGTATTTTGACCAGTCTTGTCTCCGTTTCTTTTGCTTCCGGAAAGCAACAATACTTAAGAGCACTATTAGGGTAGCCAAAAGGCAGCATCCCAGGAATATGAGAGGCTTTTCCTGAGTGACAAGTAGGCAGAGGGTGCAGGGCGCTGTTTCGTTTCGTGGTCCACATTTACTTAATGTAGTAGGATCAGTGGGGAAACCATTGTTGCAGATCAGCTGATTGTAGAAGTGGACGGAGGCTTTGGCTTGGAATTCGGAGGTAAAGAATCCAAGTTTGGGTTTGGCTACTTCGTCCGTTAGCTTGAATCCAAAGTAGCCTTTGAGGTTGACTCCATCGATATGGTAAGCTGGAAAGGACAACCAATTTCAGGTTAATTCTCTATTTCTGTATGAACCGAAAAGCCATTCGAGAGTAATTGAAAAGAAAAATGGGTGTACATTCGTTTAAGCTCGTTTTCCCCCCTAAAGGAACAGCCTTCCCTGAATTTCTGCAGGTTTTTTTAAAGTATTTTGTTGGTATTACTAATATTACAATTAACATTTTTTTTCTAGAAGCTTTCCAGAATGAAACTACACCTTATTCATTCATACTACATAGATTACTTTGGGACAGAAGCATTTCTGTCTTGGACAATTATTGCTTTATTTATGGTCTCTGAAAAGTAATCCTTACCGTCTCTCGCTTGTCATTTCATCATTTCTTTCCCTCTCCTCAAATAATAATAGTTGTGTACAGGTGGTCCTCAGCCAACAACAGTTTGTTTAATGACCAAAGTTACAGCAGCTCTGAAAAAAATGGACTTGCATCCTCTGCAGCATCCCCATGGTCATATCATCAAAATTCAAAGCCTTGGCAACTGACTTGTTTTATGACAGTTTCACTGTCTCAGGTCAGGTGATCCCCTTTTGTGATCTGATGAGCAAAGTCAGTGGGGAAGCCAGATTCACTTAGCGACTGTGGCAAGAAAGGTAGTGAAATGGGGCTTAGCAAATGTCTTACTTAACCACAGATATTTTGGGCTCCACTGTGGTCGTAAGTAGAGGACTACCTGTATACCCTATAATAATATTCCTGGCATTTGTTAGGCTGTAAGCCTCACAAACATTAAGCTTTGACAATACAAGATTGTGGATAATTTGCTTATACAACACTTCTTAATACAATCCTACGCTCTCTATTCTCCTATCGCTCGTCCTTTTAATAACATGTTATCTCACAATTACCAGATAGAGCTTTTGTAGAATTTCACGAACTTCTCATAAATCCATCCTTCCATCAAGATGCTATGACTTTCACAATAATCTTTTGTGACAGATTAAACTGAAAAGGCACTTACTCCACTCCCATAGCCAGAGCTGAGTAAGGATACAAAACTAAGTTACATTTTAAAAAAAACCCTCAGAGCTTTATCTTGGGCTGTTCTTGTTCTGCTGATCAGAAAACTGCCTTTATTTATATATATGTATGTGTGCGTGTATATATAAACACACATACACTGCTCAAAAAGATAAAGGGAACACAAAAATAAGACATCCTAGATCTGAATGAATGAAATATTCTTATTAAATACAGTACATACATACATACATGCGCGCGCGCGCGCACACACACACACACACACCCTTCTATAGGAGCCATGGTGGCATAGTGGTTGGAGTGCAGTACTGCAGGCTACTTCTGGCTGCCTGCAATTTGGCAGTTCAATCTCACCAGGCTCAAGGTTAACCCATCCTTCCGAGGTGGGTCAAATGAGGACCCCAATTTGGGGGGGCAATAAGCTGACTTCGTAAACCTCTTAGAGAGGCCTATAAAAGAACTCTGAAGCAGTATATAAGTCTAAGTGCTATTGCTATTATTCAATCACTAGCATCAGATTCTTACGTTTGCACTGTTAGTGAGAAACAATCAGCAATACCACCCTATACTTTTTATCTATTTTTATCTCATCTTTATTCAAGCACCCCTATTCCTTAAATGTCTTTCATTATTGAACTTGATTTCAGATGACATAATTCAAAGTCCAGGTGGAAAAAGGATAGGATTGCTGAAAAGGTGTCATATTTTATTGCTCTGACTATTGTTTGGTAGATTTTGCTATATCCAGCTAAATATAATTTTGGATAGAATAGTCTGGTGTTGGGTTGTTTTTTTAAGAAATTTATCAACTGTATGACAAAAAAATAATTTGACGGTATCGCTTGGAAATCATAGCTGCTGATGTCAGCTTTATGAATGATGGAAAAAAGTTTGCTTTGGGCAGGATTGTGTAAATTCTACAGAAATGAACTACCTGCAGTAAAGGTGGGGTGAGTGGGTGATGTTTGTCCTGGATTTGATGAATATAATTGGAATAATTGTTTTCAATTTAGGGCCCCCCAGAAATGTGAGCCAATAACCCCTGGCTCAGCTAGCACAACACAACATCCTTTAAACACACCTGGAGACCACGGGAAGATGGGAAACCCCCTTTAAGGGCCTGATGTGTAAAGAGCAACCAAACTGTTGTGTCAAGCACAGCACAACATGTGCGGATGAATCCTTTGCTCCCATTTTACACCTAGTAGGAGGGAAGCCATGTTAATCTAGCAGCCAAAAATCGGGAGGCTGAGTGATTTTTTTTTTTTAACCTATCACAACTGCAGTCATTGACATGGTACCCGTGATCTGTCTTGCGTGTGCCCATCCTCTCCCATCATCCAGGTGCTCTCCTTACAAAAGGCTATGACTTTTAATTTTAAAAAAGGGTTGGTCTGATGTACTGCTAGCAGGCTCTTTTGATTCCTGTCCCCATTGTGATCTTCCCATGCTAGAAAGGCCCATCCAGTAGCCTCACATGCTACAGGAAAAGCTAACAATATTATTCCAATCGATCAAATCCAATCACCTGTCATGCCCCTGTCAGAGTCTGATTCGGAGGGAGAGGCTGAGCAGCTGACAGGGAGTGGGAGTGTGGCTCCTTTGGGGAAGGGCAAAGGGCAAACTGGGGAAGGGCAAAGGCTGGCTGGGCAGAGCAGGGAAGAGGTAGAGCAAGGGAGAGGGAATTTGGAAAAAGACCCAGGGCCACCCCCTCTTCATCCTAAGGCACGCAGGGAGGAACGGAGAAGGGAGCAACGTGAGTTGCGTACGGGGGAGGAAAGGGCTCTGATTCCCTTCATTAGTTGCACCTGGGAACACCGTGTTTAAAAAGGGAAGCTGCACACAGCAAAGTTGTTGGGAGCAAATTGTGAGTTATCTGGTGTCATCGAGGCCTATCTGCGTTCTTAGCATCTTCCCACGTGTGTGTGTCTGCAATTCCTTATCCTGCCCTGTCCAGTTAATTGCTGGTTTGTGTGGATTTTTATTTACAATTTGTATGTACTTTGTTTTCAGATTGAATTTTTTCCACTTAAAGACAGTTCTTGGGAGAGTTTTTTCTCCAGCCAAAGATAACTGGACACTGGGGGCAAAGTTGAAGGTATTAAAGGGACATTTCTTGCTTAATTTGACTGTGTTGCCTTTGTGCTATACCCCGGGCCATCACAGTACCCCTCCCATGTGCCTTTCCTCGAAGGTGTTTCATCCCTTCGGTGCAAAGGAAAAACAATCCATCCACCCTCTTTTAAATTTTGTTAAATGCACAGGAAACTTCTGAATGATTTGAGATGAGCGTTCGTCACCTTCTACTCACCTTTAAAAGCTTCCTGCACATACTTTTTGATGTAGTATTTACGGAGCTCATCGTTGTCGCTAGACTGATCTTCAATCCCACTAGCAGTGAGATAAATATCCCTACCACCATAGTGCAGACTGATCCAGTTCAAGGCTTTGCGTAACCCCCAAGGCACCACTGCAAAGCGAGCAGGGGAACTTGGGTAGGTGAAATCTTGCACCAGTCGGATGTCCTGATCCAATTCGTACTGGCTTCCGTTCTTCGAATCGTGTGCCACAAATCGTGTGGTGAAATGGTTCATAGCAATGAAATCGGCAGCCCCTCTGACCAGCTGCTGCTCCTCCTCCGTGAAAAAAGGCAAGAATGAACTGGAAAGGCCTTTGTGGGTTTTGTAAGTGAGGTATTTTCTCATGGCCGCTGGGTAGTCCCCTGTCCCCAGCAGCGGATCTAAAAACCATGCCATTTCAAATTGGAGGAACCGATTGGCTGCTTCCACATCGCTAGCGAGATACGGGTTGGCGGGTTCTGCCCAATCGCAATGCAGGGACAGCGACACCTGACCCTGCTGGAAAGACCGATATTGTTGATCGTACACCTGCCAAGCCGCAGCATGAGCGATCAACAAATGGTGAGCTGCTTGATAAGTGTCGTTACTGCTGCCGTTGTAAATGTTGCCGAACTGATTTGGCTCGTTAATAGTGATCCAAAATTTAACCAGGTCTCCAAATTCCTGGAAGCACATTTCGGCATACGTTTTAAATGCCGCAACTGTGGACTGATTCAACCACCCGCCGTGCTGAAGTAAAGGACCTGGCAGGCTTAATGACTGATAGGTGGGATAGTGTAAGGTGACTACGGGCTTCACGTTCAGTTTGAGGATCTCGCTGATAAGACATCGGTAGTACCGCAGGACGTGGCGGTTAAGGGACGACACATCGCCGCTGGGGAGGAGCAGCGACCAATTGAAAGCGAACCTATAATGTGTGACCTTCATTTTTGATAGCAGCTGAAGGTGTGTTTTAATGCTGGTGAAGTCCGTACACTGAACTGGGCGGGTTTTCAATTTCACACCCTTCACCTGGTAGAATTTTCCATCTCCAGAGATGTTCCAGAGATAGAGGTTGGGATCAGAGAACTGAGGAGAAGAAGCGACCGATTCTGCCTGTGAACGAGAATAAAGATCATGTCAACTCATATTTCTCTGGTCTTTTTAGAGTTGCCAACAGAAAAAGGAGGGGGGAGCAGTGAGACAGCTTGCAAAACCAAAGCTGTATTCCATAAATGTTTTCACAGATAGTAACTAGGAAGCTGAAGTTTCTGCCGCACAAAATTCTAACTGGAGAGCATGATTGATGACTCTGGGCTATGGATGTGTCCCATTGGAGAATATGAATTACGATACACCCAGGGGGTGGGGAGAAAACCAGGGTCAAGGGTGACAATGAATTCACACCCAGGTAATACTGCATCTTTAACTCCCAATAAACCTTTTTGAGGCTTTGGAAGTTTGGCTCAAGGCTATGATTTAAATGGGGTTAAGTTCCAGAATCCTGACAGATTAAGTCAGGAATATTGATTTACACAGATAGTTTCCTCCTTCCCAATACATAGTCGTTATTTGAGATTTAAGACATTGGCAACACCAGCTATAACAGTCTATTCTTCTAATACAGGGTGGCTTCTAATAGCATGGTCAAAGTGGAGCATTTCTGAGGCAACCTCTGAAGTAGTGGTGAAATGCTACCAGACCCGTAAGCTCCTATGATCAGCTGTGAGGAGAAAGAAGAGAAAAGCGCAGGATCGGCCCTCCCACCCGCCCCTGCGTCTTCTTCATCCTCTCAGCTGATTGGTGCGGCAGAGCCTCAGCTGGCGTTTGGAAAGCTGCGCATGTTAAGGTATTAGGAGTTAAGAACTGACCAGCAGTGAGTAGCTGCGCGATGCTTTGAAGCTGATGTAAGTCTGGCTGAAGTAACAAGAGTGATTCAGCAGAGTAGGGGTGGAGAGTAAAGTGAAGAGGTGTGTATATAAAAGGCAGCCATTAGAGGGCAGGGTTCTCTTTCCTTACGACCAGTATTCAGCACAGAAGCTCTCCGCGTGTTACTGTGCGATCACCGAACTGGTAGGGAAACTGGTAGAATCCCACCACTGCTCTGAAGCTACTGGCCCACGTGCTGATTCAACCCTTGTGGGAAGTCATCAGTACATCTAGCAAGGCCATATAAAAAGACGAGCTGGGATGGCAAACTGCGAATGACATCCAGTTTTTCCTCCTCTTCCCGCCCATCAGATGTTAGTGAACCTTGGGAGGGAGGGTTGTTCTGAATTAATGTTTGGACATGACAACATATACTGCAGGATGAAGGACAAGAAATCAATATATCTAGATTATAGGCGAATGGTATCCAACCTGTTCTGGAAGAGATTGCTTGGTCTTAAAAAGGGAGATGGGAAACCACCTGTTGCTTCACCAGAGTTACGTATTCTCAGCTTGCTAAGCCTGAGACGAGTAGCGGGTTTCTCAGCCAAAGCTTCTCCCATCTCTTGAACATATTTCTTTCCTAACAATAATCTATAAAGAAGAATGTTTTCTATAGTGGCATTCCTGTATAGAGACTTTCCCCTGGTGCTCTGTTTACAGCCCCAACCTAATACTGGTTTTACGGCTCGGGCATTTGAGGAAGGTGTGTTTCACATAATCTTCTGGTTTGTGTTCTACTCCTAATAGTATGTCTGATTTTTGATTTTTGCTTTGAAAGACCTTTAAAAACCTATGGTTTGAAACATTTACATTAATAAATAATGTGGATTTTTTTTAAAAAAACCCTCAAATTTATAAAGGATAATTAGCCATTGAGGGATAACGGGCATTCTGATTAATATTTGCAACATTTGGGGAAACTAAATCAAGAGTCTTATTTTTTTAATTAATTTTATCCTTTCAAACTTCCTAGCAGTGAGGACAGAAGTTACTTCAGAAGCTGTGGGTGCCCCATCACTGGAGGTTTTTTAAGAAGAGACTGGACAGCCTCTTGTCTGAAATGATGTAGGCCAGGGTCTCCTGCTTGAGCAGGGGGTTGGACTAGAGGATCTTCAAGGTCCCTTCCAGCTCTATTCTGATTCAAAGAGTTGGGATGCTTGCCTTAGTTTGCTTACCTTGATGACTGATTCTGTGATGCCCCAAAAGAAATCCCAAGGAAACTGGCCTCTCAAAGTGCCGGTTGATTCTTCCGCAGGAAAGCCATTCTCCTGAATTATTTGCCTATAATAAAAGGCCGAAGATTTGGGGATCCGCTCCTTCTCTTCACTGTCAAAATCTATGTAAAACAAACCTCGCCGGTCACTGAAGGCCTGTTGCCATTCAAATCCATCCAGGAGAGACCAAGACGTGTAACCAAAGACATCGATCTGATCAAACTTAACAGCTGTGTAAGGCAAATAAAAAACAATGGTTCAACCTAGACTATGCCAAGCATTTATCACAAATGTAAACCAGTAAAAGAGGGGGGTTGGAAAGGATTTCTCTTAGCAGCTGTTTTTGTTTTTATTTATCAACGTTTAGCATATTAAAAGTCCAAACTGACACGTTTGTAGAATGTTTATTGACTCGGATTTAAAAAATATCAAAAACTATCTTAAATAAAAATATTTTTCATGAAAAAGGCCTATGTTTTTTAAATAAATAATGAGAAGAGGGACATTGTTTTGAATTTTGGCAAATATCTTCGGTGCCTGGCAAATAATTTTGATTCTGCAGACATCTGACATGGTCTTGAGTGTTCTGACCCAAACCTGGTTCCAAGGAAGCAAACACAAGACAAAGGTTACAGCACAACCTTTTAATGTTTCTTTATGAATTCTGTTCCTTCACGGGTAAAAAAGGCTGTTTCAGATTAATTGTCTCTGATAAGAACGATCCTTGCCAAGGTGGTGCAAGGCTGCCAAGAACACTACATAAAGTTACTAAGAAATATTTCAAACACAAAGAGTCTCTAAACACCAAACAAGATATTCTGAACGTCCACCAGGCTCAAGTGTAAAACTTCTTTGCCTTTTGCAAAGAACTGCGGTTTCTCAACTGGCTTTTATCTCTTAAGCGAGGGGCCTTTACCTTGCAGCCTTACTCCCGAGTCACCCATGCTGCCGCAGCTGCTCTTTCCTTCGAGCAGCCCTGCGCACACGCTCACTGGGCACAGGCTCCTCGGGGGCCTCTTCATTGCTGCTGCCAGCCCCCACAATCTCCAAAGGCAGCACTCCACTCCCTGATGGTCCTGGCCCCATCCCTGCATCACCCACAGGCCTGTCATCCGAGTCTTCAGTCTCCAAGACCTCAGCCATCTGCACCTGCTGCCGGCGAACCACGACATTGAGGGACCCTCAGTGGTCCAAGGACCACACTTTAAGCAACACTGACCCAGACTTAATTGTTTCCAAGAGCTTTTAATTTAGGCCAAGGGCCATGGATGCTCTCCTTAATATATCATCAACCATTTGTCCCCAGATATTTCCTTCCAATGGCCTGGTTTCTCTTCAGGACTGCAATGGGAGAGAAGAAAATTAGCAAGCTTCCGTGGATTATTTTACCTGTTGGCCTCCTAGCTGAAGCAACCTGTTAAAATACATTCTGCAACGTTAGCTGTAGTATTGTCATATCTACAGGTACTCCTCAACTTACGACCACAATTGAGCCCCAAATTTCTACTGCTAAATGAACACATGTGTTAAGTGAGTCTTGCCCCTTTTTGCAACTTTGCTTGTCACGGTTGCTAAGTGAATCACTGAAGTCGTTAAGTGAATAGCACAGCTGTACAGTGAATCTGGTTGCCCCATTGACTTGGCTTGTCAGATTTGCAAAACTTGATCACATAACTTGGGACACTGCAACCGTCGTAAATAGGAGTCGGTTGCCAAGCATCTTGACTTTTGATTACATAACCACATGGTTGTTAAGTAGGAAACAATGGTCAGTCACTTTTTTCAGTACCGTTGTAACTTTGAACGGTCACTAAATGAACTTGTGGTTGACCAGCAGCCTGTGCAGACGGCAGCAGAACCAGACAGTGGGAAAGAACAGGGACCAGTCCGGGAGTCTGGAGAGGACTTGGACGAGGGTCCTATGTCCAATGCAGGGATGGGGCCAGGACCACCTGGGAGTGGGGTGCTGACTCCGGAGCCTTCAGGGTCTGGCAGCAGCGAGGCAGAGGACCAAGGGGAGCCTGTTCCCAGTGCGTGCATGCACAGAGCTGCTAGAAGGTGAGAGCAGCTGAAACAAAAGGAGCGACTCGGGAGTAAGGCTGGGAGGTGATTGCCCCTTCCCTAAGGTATAAAGGACAGGCAAAGGTAAAGAAACCTTTGCAGGAAGCAAAGTCGTTCACTGTTCGGATTAATCCTTGAAGCTCTGTGTGGACGTTGTACTCCGCTTGGCTTTTTATAGTTCATTTGGCACTTTAATTGTTGGCAGCAATTCAAAGGAGAGAAAGGTGGGTGCTTATCTTGAGGGACTGTTTGGGACTCATTACAGGCTGGGAATGAACATAATTCCCAGCAATGAAATAAAACAAGAGTTGTTGTAACTAAGCATGTGCTTAATTACGGTCTCCAAAGCCTTGGTCAGAACAGAACTGCTGTAAATAGAGGACTACCTGTAGCTGACTATTTAGATTTCCCACCGTCTCATTTAAGCGGCCCTCTTTTAACACGACTGGCTACTTTCAAATTCCTCCCCACCCTCCTCACTCACCTTGCAAAACCTTATTAATAAAGTTCTTCATTGCGTAAATAGCCGTAGTATCTTCTGTTTTTACGTCTTTGTTGGTGAACCAGCCATTTTCAGAAATCAAGATTCTGGGATTACCATACTCCACTTTAATCCAGTTCAGGACGGCCCTTAGGTCAAGGGAGAAGTTTTGTCCCATTCTGGGCAGCTTGCCTGGAGGCTTAAAATTATTTGGCCCGAAAGAAAAGGCAAAGAAATCGGCTGTCCCTTTGAAATATTTTTTTTCCATTGAAGTGGTGTTTGGGAGGAGAGAGGCCAATTCCGTCTTCAGCTCTTCCGGGTAATCGCCGTCGCCATGTATGGGCTTTGCAAACCAACCCAGGACTTTCTGCATGGACAGCTGACACTTTTTAATATCGGATTCATTGTTGATTGTGTTTGGTTCGATCCAGTGAGATCCCAGTGTGATTGACAAAAAACCTCTCTGCTGGGATCGAAAATGTTGATCATAATTATGCCAGACTTTTGCATGAGCCTAAGGAAGAAAAAATATATTTGGAGTTTAATTATATGATAGGCGTTAGTTGCAGTTTATTTGTACAAAGTATACTTCTTAGATGCAAATGTTAAAATCCAAGTATTAATTATTGCTAATGATACAGTTGAGCTAACTTAAAGACAAATAGGTTTATTGTAATACAGGATTTTATGAGCTGGTATTCATTTTATCAAGTTAATAACCTAAAAGCTCCAAGCACAATAAACCTGTTAGTTCGTTCATGTAGAATTTATCACTACAGAAAGATTTTATTGATTGGTAATTTCCGTGTGAGAGGTAGATGTGTCCATGAAATAAGCTGTGTTCTTAGTAACAGAATCAGAAATGAAGAACAACTCTGGTAAATCAAGAATATAAGGGTGTTACGCACAGGAATCTATTAATAGGTCTCTGGAAGATTAATGATAACAACTGCTGATTTCTAAATGTAAAATAAAATCTCCTTCAACTCAAGGTTGATCCTCAATGATTTCATGCATTCATCCGTGTTTGAGGAAGCTGGGCAGTTTAGAAATATGGAATATAAATAACAACTACTCTTGGCAACAATAGAGAACTTGTTTGCCGCTATTTTCTTTTGGCACGTTTATTCAACTTTACAATTTAATTTAAAGGTAAAGGTTCCCCTCGCACATCCGTGCTAGTAGTTTTTGGCTCAAGGGGGCAGTGTTCTACTCCGTTACAAAGCCAAAGAGCCAGCGCTGTCCGAAGACGTCTCCGTGGTCATGTGGCCGACATGACTAAACATCGAAGGCGCACAGAACGCTGTTACCTTCCCACCAAAGGGGTCCCTATTTTTCTACTTGCATTTTTACGTGCTTTTGAACTGCTAGGTTGGCAGAAGCTGGGACGAGTAACAGGAGCTCCCTCTGTGATTCGGTGCTAGGGATTCAAACCGCCGAACTGCCGACCTTTTTGAGCGACAAGCTCAGCATCTTAGCCACTGAGCCACCACAATTTAGCCTACCCCTCTATGAATTCAGTCTGACTTTAACTTGTTGAGACCAACTAAACTGGCTATATAAAATTGGGTTATAAAACTACTAGAACAATATGAAACAATAACAATTGCAAAATTCCTCACACTTCCTTTGCCTTCTAGTTAACCAGCATGTTACAGGCTACATTCTGCAAAAGAAAGCTTCTAGACTGAATCACAGAGATTTCAGAGCATTTGCAGCGTGACTACCATTATGAGATAACCCAGGAGCGAACCCCAGCACACAGAGACTTAAACATTTAACAGTGGTTTATCTACAGCAGTTATATACAGACATATACAGAAAAATACCTTACAAGCAAGCACAATTCTTAACTACAAGGAGAACTTCTGCAAACAATCCTGGACACAAGGAGAGAGGACACGCCCTCTATAATGGCTGCAATATATAACCACCTCTTAAAGGGATCTTTAATCCCCAGTCTGAAAGGGAAGTACTGTATTAATGCTGGTTCATCCTTATTTCATCAGCCTTACAATTGCATCAGAACTTCCACATCTGCAACAGCTTTACTGATGGTCAGCTCCTAAATTCTCATTACCCTGACAAGAGGGATGTCTTTCCAGGCTGCCAACACTGTCACCACATCTTCAGTGCTTGGTATTTAGGACAACCACCTTAATTCTGCCAAATGACAGTGCTGGTTCTGCAAAGTTGGAACTAAAAGAGAATTTCTCCCCTATTCGTACCAGGAGAAGCTGCTCTGCCTCATAACGATCTTCACTCTATATAAATTCTTCAATGACGAGAGGCCTCTGGAAATCACTGGTATATAGTGATTATGGCAGGCGGTTCATTCATTCATTCATTGAATTGATTTGCCGCCCATCTTGTTTCACAATTACAGAAAGACTAGAAATGTCCATCACAGAAAGGCTTAAGAATGCTTCTGAACAGTAGTGGGATTCAATTTTTTTTTACTACCAGTTCTGTGGGTGTGGCTTGATGGGTGTGGCAAGGGAAGGATACTGTAAAACCTCCAGTCAGAGGTGGGATTGGCCAGTTCTCCGAACAACTCAAAATTTCCGTTACCGGTTCCCCAGAACTGGTCAGAACCTGCTGAATACCCACTTCTGCTTCTGAACAATAAACATAATTACGTGTAATGAATACGTAATGCTCATTTGCTGGCTGTGAAGTGGATAGCAAAATTTGAGGAGGACATCTTAGCTAATCAAATGGGAAGAGTTGCTGTGCCCTCCATCGTTTAGTACATAATATACGATTTAATCCTGAATGGGTCACAATGAAAACCTCTATCCTTCCATTCGGAATCAGGGTTCCCCAACCTCTTGGAGCTAATGGATATATTTGACTTTTTAGAACTTTTCTTCGGCATTCTCACAAAGTGGCCCTTGGTACAGTGGGAGACACACTAGATTGTTTTGTTTCAAACTTGGAAACTTTTAAGATATGTTGGACTTCCAACTCTCAGAACGCGTGCTGGCTGGGGAATTCTGGGAGTTGAAGTCCACACAAATTTGCCAAGTTTGAAAAAAGCACGGTTGGCTTTTATACTTCCCGGGACTCTTCCTTTCTCTTTGTCTTTTTAGAGGAGAAAGGAATATTTTCAGACGGAGTCCTGGGTTGCATTTATTTTTTTCCCCACTTAAAACTTGTTCTCGGTTTTGCAGCACGCCAGGCTTCCCATCCATTAAGTTTTAATTAAAAGGAAATTTAAAAAATTAAAAACCAAACAAGGAACAAGGAACACGGCCACATCATTTTCAGCACCCCAGGAATCCATGATTATGAAAGTGAAAGATTACAGCGGTGCACAAAAAATGAAAAGTACTTTGGGCAGGCTGAAGAAGGTTGGTTATAAAGTTTGCAGTAAATGCATTTGATTTATGGGAAACAATTTGATGGCTTTTCTGTCCCGCACCCGGGGATCAGAGTCTCCAAACCTGACAACTTTAAGCCTTGTGAACTTCAACTCCCAGAATTCCTCCGCCGGCCATTGAAAGTTGCTAAATTTGGAGACACCCCCCCCCCCGCCCTAGACAAACATGTTTATGTGATGATTTGTGTGCTGGTCAATTTTTGCTTTGGATAAAGAAGATGACGCTGTACATAGAAAACAAATATGACAGGTGCCCTCAAACCCAGCCATCCATGACTCACAAGGCAGGCCTACGTAAGCATTTATTTTCAAAGTTTTATCAGCGTAATATATCTCCTCCTTCCCAAAGCAGGATGCTGCTCAGAGTAGCAGAACAGGAACCGGAATTAGGACAGCTGTCAGCTTTGAGAAAACATTTCAGAATGATCAAGATGGAAAATGCAGTCAACACTTGTAGTTTCTAGTCTGATAATCTTTTTTTTTTTCCCCCAAGCATTTAACTAAGGTCTGGATGTCCATATTAACCTTTGAGATAGAGAATAATCCTGCTTCTGCCATGAACAAATGAATCACACCGCTCGTTAAATGGAATAATAGCTCTGCATCCAGGCTTTCTGAAACTAGCATGGAGTATAGACGCTTCTCTGAATGTTTGGGGGGAAGAAAACAAGAAAAACAGAGTAACTGGAAGGGACCTTGGAGGTCTTCTAGTCCAACCCCCTGCTCAGGCAGGAAAATCTATCCCATTTCAGACACATGGTTGTCCAATCTTTTTTTAAAAACCTCCAGTGTTGGAGCATTCACAGCTTCTGGAGGGAAGCTGTTCCACTAATTATTTGTTCTGACCTTCAGGAAATTTCTCCTGAGTTCTAGGTTGCTTCTGTCCTTGATTAGTTTCCATCCATTGTTTCTTGTCCTGCCCCCAGGTGCTTTGGATAATAGCTTGACTCCCTCTTCTTTGGAGCAGTCCCTGAGATATTGGAACACTGCTATCATGTCACCCCTGGTCCTTCTTTTCCTTAAACTAGACATGCCCAATTCCTGCACTCGTTCTTTTTATATATTTTATCCTCCAGGCCCCTAATCATCCTGGTTGCTCTTCTCTGCACTCTTTCGAGAGTCTCAACATCATTTTTATAGCGTGGTGACCAAAACTGGATGCAGTATTCCAAGTGTGGTCTTTCCAGGGCACTATCAAGTGGTACTAACACAAACCACACACACAAAACACAAAGGATTGTCAGAAATCATCTGAGAGAAGGTGCTGGGCATTCTAACAACTTGGCCACTTTTAAGATGTTGGACTTCAACTCCCAGAATGCATTCTGGTTGGGGAATTCAGGGAGCTGAAGTTGACCTAGTCTTGAGCTGTCCTTCCATTCAGATTTTAAAGGAGGCGCTCCAAGCTGGTGCCTTTCAAATATACTGCTATAATTCCCAATCTCTGGGGCAATATGAAGAGTTCTGAGAGATGTGATACCAAAATAAATTCAGCTCACAGCCCCTCCCACCTGTAGTTGCTTCTTAATACCTACCTAATCAGTTTGGCATCTTGATGACAAGGGAGACAGTTAAGTAAACAATGGAAATATAATCAGTAAATAGCCATGTAATCCAGAGGTGGGTATTCAGCAGGTTCTGACCAGTTCTAGAGAACTGGTAGCGGAAATTTTGAGTTGTTCGGAGAACTGGCAACTACCACCTCTGACTGGCTCTGTCCCCATCTATTCTCTGCCTCCTGAGACCCAGCTGATTGGCTGGGTCTTCTTTGGTTGCCCTGCACAGGAGAACGGAGCTGGAAAGCAGGTTAGTGGGGAAAGGGATTTTGTAGTATTCTTCCTCTGCCACGCCACACCTGCCACACCCACCAAGCCACACCACGCCCACCAAGCCACGCCCACAGAACCAGTAGTAAAAAAAATTTGAATCCCACCACTGTTGTAGTCTAATACCAACTGCATTAATTTTTGCATAATCTGTTACATTCAACTTCTGCTTACTATTTTCTCAAAAAAAAAATATGGTAGAATGTATGGCAATATTTTCTTCCTAGGAAGACTTCACCCGCATGTACCTCTTTTAACCCCTGCATTTCACATATTTACACAGAAGTCCTACTCCTGCAGACACCA